ACAGCTCAGATTAAGTAACAAAGAACTCCACTTATTTAGGGAAATATATTTAAAAACTGAGCTACAACTTGATATTGTTTCAAAGATACTAATATTAAACTCGATTATCCTGATATACTTGCTTAGTTGTCATCATAGTAACTTCAGTAACATGAAGGCTTCTTGAGATACATTGCAGCATTGAATGCAGCATTGAATGCAACATCAGCAAAGATAATACTATCATTTTACTTATATTAATGTATGTATCTGGATTATAAACTAGCTAACTAGGTTGTAAAATAGTTCTATGCTTTTAGAGCAGCCCATTAAAAATGAAGACCGAAGTTTCAGTCTAATACATAAATGCAAAATAATTTTTTCTCTGAAAAGATTTTTTCTTTCTAAACCTGTGGTTAGATCAACAATGAAACAATTCTGGAAGCTTAAAGACAGTTACTAGCCCTTTCTTCAACATCGAAAGTACTACAACAGGAAGGTGTTCTCCAATTTATAGTGGGAGTATTGAAAACATCCTGCTTTCTTGCATATGCTTTTTTTCTTTTAAATGACATTGCAGTTTATATTTATATAGTTTCAAGTTATAACAAAAATAACAAGAACTAAATCAAATCCAGATTTTTCTTGAGTAGTCGCATACTGTACTACTTTGCAACACTAGAAACATGATTTTATTCTAACTACTGACTTTTAGTTGAATTTCAATGACATCAAAACAAATTCAGTAGTCCCACAGTACCTTTCCTGTAGTATATTTACTGATTATTTAACAATAATTAAGTTTTGCAAACAAAGGGTCTAAAAAAAGAGGCCGATATGCAAAAATTTGAGTGTGTTTTAAATCAACTGCACTGAGAAGGGTGTACAGCTAACACAAAATGATCATAGGAGCATTTTGAGAGAAAATGCACTCTGAAACATAACAAAATGATTTAGAAAACATTTTCTGTAATCTGCATTTTTTAAAAAAAAGACATCTCTGAAACCCTGGGCTATGTTATTGATATGCAGGGCACAATATTAACTGTGATGGTCACGTAATCATATCCTTGGAGTGTCATAAGTTCTCACGATAAGCCTGCCTGCTGGAAATATTTTGCACGAAGGAAGAGAGTCACCTCCAGAAGGGACAATAAAGATGATTAATCTGGCAGACAAACTACTGAGTGGTAGGTTTCAACAGCTTTGTGTGACTAAAATTGCCTTGTTGATTTAGAACAGTAACTATCTGCTTAGCACATTTCCTTTACCAAGAAAAGATAACAGTTAATACACCACAAACAGAATCAATATTAAAGTATGGTTTAATATACAGAAAGTCATACAAATTATCACTGCTTGAAATGCCATACGAGGCCACCATCACCAACCACAACTGGATTACATGTTTAATTTCTCTCCTCAACCAAATGATAAATGAACTCAGGGCAGTGTGTTAAGATATCCAGAATTTTAAATAGCAAGTCTTTTAAAACAAAATGTAGCATCAAACAGAAACAACAAATACGATTATACTATTCTGTGGAGAAAACAAACAGATCTCCATTTTCAGAGTTAGCTACCAATCGGTTTTTATACCACATTATACCCTTCTGACACTTAGGGTACTCTTCATGTATCGTCAGGCAGATCTCCTGAAATGAAGTTACTAAAACAAATACAAAGCAGGGAAACTCAGATTTGTCTTTTCCTTTGCCTGAGAAGGCTTGTTTCACATATATTGGTGACTGTCATGGCAGCTTTTGGGGCCTTGATTAAGCGTCTCAAAAGCTACACCACTACGCTTTGTAATGTTATCACTGTATTCAGAAGATGAATTGCTATACTGTAAATCACTGTCACCAGTTCTCAGAGATGAGCATAGGACAAGTGAGTTGCATTGACCCAGTGTATGTGAGTGTACATATCCTTCTGTTTTGCTGTTTTCTGTTGTGTCCTTGCATAGCAATGAAACGGACTGCTTCTTCATCCTGCTAGATAGTAATCAACTCACACTTGCATTTTTTTGAATCAATAGAATTGTAATAAATACATAGACCTACCTTTGTTATTCCCCACTATCATCCTCTATTAGTTTTCACGAAATGTTTTTTTCATAAAATGAAAAGGCAAAACAGGTGTTAGATTATTTATGTTTGACAAATTCATATAATTTAAATAATTAAAACTAATTTGCGTTGAGAGCTACAGTTGCATTTTTATTAGAGAAACAAGTACAAATAGGCATCACTACAGAGCTGTTTATTCAATAATGAGATTAAATGAAATGGATTTTGTAGTCTCAATTCTTTCTGATTAATGTGGCAATCGGAACTCTAACTTCTGTGCCCTAACAATGTGGAAACAGCTGCTCACCCGCTATAATTCCGTAAAAGTTTTTTCTTTAAAGCTACACATTTTAAATTATCCCTAAAAAAATATTGTAAGCAAAATACCAAATGTTTTCAGTTTAAACAATATTTGCATTATAAACCTGAAATTATACTACTTTTTAATTTAA